AACTGAAATGAATCTTTGGTAGATCAGTAATGCTTCAATTTTGAACTTAATATTACCATGTTCATCCATTCCTATATTTGCTGTACAGAAGCACACATTCAGTTTACTTAGAGTGTGTCAGCTATCATCACTACAATTATATAGAACAGTGAACACATACACATAGAACATAGAAATTAGCTTTTCTAGAATGCTAGACCTGACCCTGACAAAAACTCCCTACCCAAGCCTTTTTTTCATTCAGTGAAGGGAGATTCACTCAATTAAATGTTATTAGTCTAGTAAACCCCATCTTTTGTTCAAGTATTAAAATACCAGGTAATATTCCAGTCTTGTAAAAGCTCATAGGGAAGAGTTTATTAAATAACTACTTTTTAAAGACTGAAAAAGAAAAAAAAGAAGTCTTTTTTGGGGAGGTCACTATTAAGCACATACATATTTTACAAAATACATGCATCTTGTATTCTGTGAATATAGTCACAGAATTTAGCCCAACACGGAGTCCACTGACTGAGAATCCTTACAAAAACAACATTAAAGTTGGTTTTAACCAACTCTGCAGACCACAGAAGTCTAAAGCATAATAAGAGAGCCTTGAAGACATACATTACTCAAATGCAGTTGAAAGTACACTCCCTCAACAAGCAATGTTTCAGAGGATGTACAGACACACTTCCTTAGCCAGTCTTGGGTAAAGGGGCATTTGTAGAGCCATGGCATCAGTTTACTCAATACTGCTGCCAAAGGAAGGCTTTTCCATCTCAGCCTTTACATCAGCGATGGAAATTAGAGTGGCAGCAGCATCCTTACACTGGAGAGTGCACTTCTGGAAGTCACAAGAGTTGGAGGAACTTCCCTTCATCCTCAGTGTGCCAGCCTTTGGCAGAACCTGAAGAAAGCAACAGCCACGACACACACGTCTGTCACTCATACACCCTGACCACTGGTGCAGCACCTGCAGAAGGATCTTAGAACCCTTAGCTAAGTTTACAGTGCAGCACTACTGGCTCAGGGGGAAATCTCAGAGCTTTAACCAGGATACACGATTCCAAATGGGCAGCTGGATGACCCGCCATCAACATGAACATTCAGCTACTTAACACCTTATAAAGCTGCCTGTGTTTAGCAACTGAACTTTTTGATATTTGATAATTTCACCAAGCTACCTTCTGATCCCAGAAGCAAAGATAATGGGGAATCAGCATTACTGTCTCTGAGGGAAGGCAAGAGGAGAACAAGATATATTCTTATACATTTGTTATGCATATTTTTAGGAGTTATACAACTTTAGTTTTGCAAAGCAATTTTCTGAACTTTCACTGACAAACAAATCCGATCTGAAAAATCTTACATCAGCAGGGTTGGTTTGCAGATGTTATTTGCACCATTTATTTATCAAAAATAACTAGAAAATGTTTTTAAAACATCATTCCAGACTGTACAAATAGGAATGTGACATGGGCTGTCTGTTTTACTTTACTGTTTTACTGCTTCGTATTCTGAGCAAACAGAGAGGCTATTTTCCCCAGGGGTTCAGGAGGGCATACTATTTCATTTCTTCAGAAAATTGTTTCTCTGGATTTCAATCTTTTTAGCTAGATATGACAAAATATAATATCAAGAACACTTATGCTTTTTTATCAGCTCTATTTTCAAAGCATAAATAATAGATCAGTATATAGTTAAGTCAGGTGACCAACTCTTATTTCCGAAATCAAATAAGCATTTTGCAATTTTTAAATGATGCTGTACATTTTCGCTACAGTATCATTATGCCTTTAAAATGCCTTCAAAAGACTAATTTATAAGCATGGAGTGATTTTGAAGATATTTCACTAGTGTTAATAATACCTCACTCAGGTGGCATTCAATTTTCTGAATCCTTGGGTTAATGAGGCAAATAAATCAAAATTAAATTGGCCTTGGGAAAAAAAAATTCAAGCAAAATTGCATCTATTACGTTACACATCCTGAGACTCCTTCAGTACTGTTCACAATGGCTAACAATATTCCAGCTCTGAGAATCATTACACTTACTCATAACACAATCTGAGATTTTAAAATCAAATAGATCAGACTCCATGACTCGGCGAACATAACGCTTTATAATAATATATCAGGAGTATTCACAATGAGTTGTACACAGTCTTAGTCAAGTACTTTACATTAAGTGTCCATAAATTTTAGCTGCTCAATTCAGCTATACAATAATCCAACAAACTCCTTCCAGGAGGCTTTCTCTATTGCAAATTGGTAAGTTTTAAGATAAATTCTAAAAAGAAAATACTTTCTGCAACCAGGTGGTCATTCACCATTTTAAAAAAGCCCCAGAACCACACAGATGTAGGTAAATAGCTGAAACAAACAAAAATTCTAGCATTTCTTAAATAAGTACTTCTAGTTATATTGCTGTAGTACTATTCCTTACCTAAAATACGAGAAAAAGGAAATATTTTATAGGTATTACAAAAAGAATTCTACTGTTGAGGAATACCAGTGATGTCAGCTCCTTTAAAAAATGGCTAATAATATACAATACAGAGAACTAAAAAGGCCCAAGTTGTTACCACAAGTAATAAATTTAGCATGAGCAAACAACAATCAACAAATACTGACACGCAATGAGCAATTGCCATTTTTCTCCTGTTGTTATTTGTAGCCAAGTAACAAATGCGCTTCTCTGCCCAGAGTCACAAGGGCAGCCTTTCAGCCTAAGGAACTTCCTACAAACATGGAGTCCCAGTTAAAAACAAACTTCCCCACTGAGCTGCTGTAATCATCATCTGCTAAGTCAGCAGCACAGACTCAAGATTTCCATGTACACAGTATTCATATTTTTTGATGGAAAACACCGCACAAAAGTAGGTTGGGTAATTTTTTCCAAATAAGTTACTACTATTAACATTTAGCATTTATAAAAGCATGCAAAAAAGCCTAAGGTTTTGGTAATTTTTATTTTAAAGGAGTTAAGGGCCCAAGTGCCCTTACATGGCACAGGTCAAAAGCAACAAGAAACAGCATAGAAACATGTTTGCACCTTTACCCCACCCAGTACATTCTTCTTGGCTTTGCAAAACAATTTCTATGGTCAAGAGCTTGATTATGAGTAATTTATATGGTGATCTAATGTATTTGTTTTGATTTTCCTCTCCAGGTACAAAAACCACCATGATAGTTAAGAATTTTCTCTTGCTAGAAAATACTGAGAAAATCTGTTAGAGACACCCTTACATGAGACTTGCATTAGGAAAGGTTTGGGGTTTATTATCAGTCTATAACTAGTGCACATGTAGAGCAAGTGAGCAATTGTCACTGGCAGGAGTTCAAAAGGGAAAGTCACCCCAGTGAAAGCCAGTCACCCCTCTGCTCATGGTAGACTTGGAAGAGGATGGCTCTATTCAGTCCCCATTCCACAACAGCCACTGGGGTCAGCCATCTCCTGGGCCTGGATCCTAGAACAGCCAAATGGTATCAGGGACTAGGGGTTACATTTTTGACAGCTTAAAGAAAGCCACTGCAAAAGGTGTTGATTTCACTTCAATATAGAACAAAGCATCTTCCCAGCTCCTGAATTAAAGTTCAGTGAAGTTCAGCACACAAACATTGCTCAGTGCTTGGCTGCTGAAGAAGCAGATATTTTAGAAGAACAAGAAGTTTTACTTCAAATTATTCCTTCAAATTTGGGTTGTGACAGACAGCATTGACAGAAAGTCACCATTCAATGGTTACTCAACTGCTTGCTCAGAATGACACAGTAATTTTATTCTGATTTTCAGTCCACAGAACAGAAACCACAACTGCTATCAGTCCTCTTTATGACAACTCCTTATGCTCTTTGGCAAGGAATACTGATTTGTGTTTTTATACTGCTACCAGGTAGTCATTGTGCACTATCATTATCCAAATAATTTATAACTACAGGTGAGAAAGAACATTTGGAAATAAACGAAATGTATCTTGATCTGCTCAGGAAAAAGACAAAACATTTAAAAAGAGCATTTTAAATCAGTATGTGGTGCAGGTCCGATATGTTCTTGTGTTCTGAAAGGCATTTAAAAGCATGTAAACTTGCATTATTACCATGCACATAACCTACTCATGAGTATTATCATGGAAGCAACATGAACACAGTGACATGTCAACTGCTTGCAGAGTCAGGCTTTAGCAATACATCAGAATATGAAACTTAGATTACATTAGAACACAAGTGTGATGGTTTGGATCATCCCAAGAACAAAAACAGTTAAAAAAACCTCTTCAGAAAAAAAGTATTGTAAAAGCCAGTGGCACAAAATTCCTTTCTACCACAGAACCAATGTTAATTTAAAAGCCAAGATTCATTTGAAAACATTCACCTGTAAATCAAAAAGTCCCCAGAGATTAATTTCTGCATTTACACTATTTGCAAAATATATTTAACTTAAAGGCATCCCTTTTCTCCTGAAATAATTGCTTACAAGATGAGAACTAAAACACAATCTGAAGTGTAGTAAAGGTAATTGCTGCACTTACTGCTTGTGTCATGTTGATGTATTACTATGTATCAAAGGTCACAGTTCTGTACTCATACATTATCAAATTTGAAAGAGCAATATTTGAATCTGACCTACCTTTAAACTGCCCAGAATGTGTGTGAAAATGGATGCAGGCTAACTTGGGTTTAAAAAGGAAAAAAAAAATGAACCCATGTTTCGGAAGCTGAGGGGTCAATCAAGTCAGACTGACAGGGCTAGGTGCCACTTCTGTGCATCTAATACCCTCTTAGATTATCAATGAGGTGCAGTACACTGATCACAAGCTAAAGCAGCTGTACTAATGAAAATGAAACCGTCTGAAAAAATTGGGCAATACAGGTCTGTGACACAGGGCAGTACCTTGTGGACAATAATGGAGGAATACGGACATAAATCACCGTTTAGATAAAATCTGTAATATCTATCCTGAAATGCCTATGTAACTGTGGGCCAAATTCAGCATCTTTACAACTCCACAGTTCCCTCTGAAGCTGCCACATATTTTTTATATTGAGTTTTTCCTGCCTCTTCTTCAGCACACACAAAATTCTGCTGTCCTGTGCCAGCCTGACCTTTGAGGGTGAATAGCTGGCTGTTCATGCCATGAGCCAGGAGTTCTCACAATTGGTTGCAGCACAGATAAATGGGTCTTATCAGCATCTACTCAACCTTGAACAACTTTCTTCCCCTACATATGCCTGTCCAACTTGGGGGTGGAGACTGCAATAAAAAGACTGGAGCACTCTCATCTTAGTTTGGTAACATGAGGTCCTTAAAAAAAAACCCTATGAAATTCAAGTTGAATTGAGTGCAGCCAGCACAGAAGGAACTACTAACAGAATTATCACCTTGAAACCATAAATTAAGATCAGGTGAATAAATAGCTTCTTCATAATCAGGGGTTTTTTTCCTCTAGAAGTTACATACACAGCAAAGGCGCCATATTTTCAAACAACAAGCTACATAATTTAATTTCATATGCTTTAAAATTCACTTCATTTAGTAAAATAGTAAATTTCAAAAGGGGAGCACAAATTCAAATATTTTCTCAATTACAAGTAGAAAAACTAAGACAGACATTTCATGAAGTCTATTAGACCCCAAGAATTCACACTAATTAATGCCTTTGCAATTGATTTTAATGGAATTTCAACTGCAGGTGATGTAACTACTGGTCAAGACCACAGCTAGGATGAAAATGATATTTCTGATTAAAGATACTATTTATAGTACATGAACACACACCCCCTTTGCTAATGTAACAAGGCTATTACAACAATAACATCTATAAATATACAGGATCACCTGTTTAAATAAAGGCTCAATATACAAAAAATACAAGTTCAAACATTCCTAAAGAAATAACAACTTTCACATTTCCTTTAAAACATAATTCAAAATAGTTTTCTTAAAATTAATTTTCTTGGTGGTTTTGCAAAATGTTTTTCTTTGAGTGCTGAACAAGTCAATATTAAGTTTCATAAGTGAGCAGAACTCCTTGAAATGATGCAAGGAATTAGAGGGCAGACCACTTCAGAAGAGCTGGAAGGTCTTTGTTGCTTGAGTTTTCTACAAATCCAGCTTCTCTATTTTCATTGAGGCAGCAAAATGGAGAGAGAAAGAGAAAAATAATTATTATTTCAATATAAGTTACAAATTTAGAGATGACTTTGAATTTACAAATTGAACACCCAAAATTGTCAGGTCTCCAGTATCCACACCCTTAGTTTTCTCCTATATCTGATTACCTCAGGATTTTGCTGCATGTATTCCTCTCTGGCAGTTGCAATCTCACTTTTGCAAATTATTTTTGTCACAAAAAAACAGAGAATACATGACTTCACAGTGGCAAAGGCTTATGAAGCCCTCCTGAAAAACATTAGTAACTATTTACTGAAGAATCCTAGCAGTATAATGCTAGGTACATACAGAGGCAGTCCTGAAGTAGGTTTATTCCCTACAGTGAAAGATAACCAGTATTATGAGAATTGGTCAGGACAGTCCCTTCCATGCAAAAATTTAAGTCATGATCAAATTGATTTTATGCAACCTTGAAAGGGTTATAATATGATACAGTGCTTTAGATTTTCACTGCTGCAAACTTAAATAATCTATCAAGAATCTTTGAAGTGTTTGCTTTAATCTCAAAACCCCATGGTTTGGGAGCAAATTATTGTATAATCAATACATTTCATTTTAAAACCCTTCTCGCTGTCCTGCCCATCATACACTCTCTAGGTCTTATTCTTCATCGAATCATTATTCCTGCAGAGAAAAGATTGAATGTGACCTGACAAGACCCCAGAGAGGTCCACAAATCAAAAGCAATGGTGAAGTCAAATTCCTTGAGACTTGTGATCTTAAGGGACAACTCAATTTACTATTTTTTTTAAATGCTGGAGGGTAGCAGTTCCTATTGTTAAATGCTATTATAGCTTATTCTATTTGTTGTGTAAACCACCACCTAGTAAAGACCTGGTACTAAGAAATTCCTACCTCCTCAGGGGGCCATCCCTTTCCTCCAAAGACCCAGAATCCAGAGCATGAAATACACTTAATTTCCGACAACCAGATAGGTCTCAAATATGCCACATTTCTGATGGAAGTTTACAGTTTTTCCTTTGCCAGAAACTTTGGCGTGTTACTAAACACCAGGACCCGGAGCCAAAAGCCCTATGCTAGTCAGTCCCATCAGATGGAATTCCTCACTTTTATCACCCTCCACAAACCTGAGAACTATGAACTCCACCTAAAGACCACACCATGGAAGAGAGGAGCACTCCCACAGATCAGTAATTAACCATTTCACTCTCTTTTCAGTGAATCAAAACTTCCTGACAACAGATAAAACTCCCTCTCACTTAGATACTCTTATTAAACACATTCCTAATCAAAAACAAAAAGGCACACACCATCATACAAATGCATTGGTCACAGAGCAATCTTCTACTGCCCTCTTGTTCTCCAACTTCATTTTAAACCTAATGCCTCCTGCAAGGCTATTTGTCCAAATTATTAGGAACTTTCAAACTTTCAGTTGAAAAAAAACTTACTTTCCTCCTAGTGTTTATGCACTTGATGTATTTGCAGCCTTTTTTTAAATTAGCCTGTATTAGGGGTTTGTTTTCCATACAGTCTCCTTCAGATGCTCACTACAATAGAAATCTGGACAGGTTTGCACTTAGCAATTTCAGAAAGGAACTGAAACGTTAAATACTGAGATCCAATGCACTAACTTTTAACCATGACACTGGTTAGGAAACGAGGGCCTAAACATTTTGCTTGAGAACACTCAGTGAACTGGTCAAATGAATCTTCAAGGTTATTGTTCTAGTGAAACATTTGCAGACAGGATATTCCTTACCCCATGAACAGTCTTCTATACTGTGGAAGACCTAACAAAACCTTATTCCAGAAGCAGAATAAATAAGAAGCAGCAGCTTATTTAAAGGTTTCTTTACATTTAGTACTCTTGTACTGGATGTGTTCAGACTTCATGAAGATTAAGACTTTTGAAGTTTTTAATAGCAGATGTAACTATTCAGTCATGGACAGTTTCCTCTACCTTACTCACTCATCCATTATCAGAGACCTACCAGTGCACCAACATTGCTAAGTTCAGAACCATGTACCACAGAAGTGTTTCTCCCAGCCTTTCAAAGTTAAAAAGGTTATAAACCTCTAGTTATAGCTAGACAGTTGTATTCTGCAAGTTATTGACATCTGTTTATTCTGGAATTAACTCTAAAACACAAACAAGTTTTGCCAATATGAGTCATTGTCAATTGCAGCCTTATTACTTCTGACATAAGAATATGGTATTAACCTGGGGTATGTACTGCCATGTAGTAATAGCCAAACCTTCCCATATTTTCGGAAAAATCTTTGCAAATTTGTCTTCTTTAACTCTTGATTAAGACCTTGTTCTGACAGACAAAACCACTATCCCTTCCATTCTTCCAGTGTTTCATTCTTTCATTAAGTCCTTCATTGGTTTCTACTCAAGCACCACACGGGGTTCAAACTTCTTGTTCTTGACTTCAAGGTAACCATACACACCCCTAGTTACACGCTTTTGATAACCTCTAGACCATTCCTAAATTGTCAGCTTCTGCATTATCTTCGTTTGCCATTCCTTGGGAGTGTCTCTTTCTCCTGCATGTGGGCTAAACAGATTTCTTGAGACAAACCACCATCATACCAAGATTCCACTAAATGAATCATTTTCTGTCAAAATGTCCAAGGTTAATCAATCTGGTTTTTCCTTTAGGAAAAGTATTAAAATTTGAAATAACACTGCCTTTCTTCCCTGCTCGACAGACTTCTTAGTAAAACTTAAATTTGACCAACTCATTTCAATTTATTTTGAACTAGAACAGTCACTTGTCTTTTTTGGTAGAGTTTACATAATCTAGATAATTACTGCCTTATTTATAAACTATGTTTGACTAAAAGGAGATGTCTGCAGTTATTCACAATATTTCAGAATCAATAAAAACATGGCACCAACAAGCTTGCTATGTATTACTTTACTACCCCACTCAATTTTGCTTTTCATTTAGGTCACAGAAAGAAAGGGGGTTCCTATAACATCTCAAGTTTTTCACATGACCAGGCTTTTAAGTGCTTTTGAAAAAATTGAGATTCAGGTACATACTAGGAAGTCAGAAGACAACAGAACATGGAACCATAGCAATTGTGGTATTTTTCCCCCTACTTTCTTCCATTTTCTCATTTTTAAGAGTCAGTTTGCAAATGGATTAAATATGACTAACAATTGCTGTACCTTTTTGTTCTACATACTCTTACTTACAAGGTCTTTTTGGCATTAAAAAGACCAAGTGACCACTGCTGTTCATTTACAGATATTTTTGGATTTTGATTCCATTCCTGTTGGACAGGCGTCTTATACTTCTGCCACACTTACAGTACACAGAAGCCAAGAAGTAACTGCTGCAGAAACATAATCCTCATCTCATATTCCTGTCAGGGCTAAGGCAGACATACTTGGCAGGAATAAAACAGGAATGCTTACTGTAAATTGAGGAAAGCCCATAGTCTATCACCATCACATGTATCTCCATGAGCCTGAATTCACTCACAAATTAATTAAACCTGTACTCTCATTTACTACAGCTGCCTTAAGCCCCTTAAAAATTACAAAGTTAAAAATGGATTTTTCTCTGACCAAAATACCAGGACATTCCTTAACATAACCTTCAAACCTTGTGAAGCAGTTAATGGAAATGACTGCCTGGATACTTGAGTATGAAAGTCTTCCAGGAAAACCCTACCATGTGCCTAAAACACACTTCCCTTCCTCAAAAATTCTAGGTAGTTTTACATCTCAAAGCTAGGTTTTCACATTCTATAAAGTATTCATTTTCACATCAGGTTGACTGTCTCTACTTGATCCTTTAGTGACATATTAAACAAAAGTAATAAATCATTCCAGTGGAAAGCTGCTAATGTCACAATTTCACATTGAAGAACATCAGGAGAAACAAAACCTCACCCCATTCCAGATACTGAGTCCCCTTTTCCAAAAAAAGTTCTTATTCCCAACAAGTTAAGAAGCATCAGTTTCTTTGGCAAAAGCAGGACGTGAAAATATACGTGTCCCAGGCTAACAGAAACATTTTTAATAGGTACAACAACAACAGATCGTTTTCTCAGTCAATTCCACAGATATTACATGCATTACAGCTGAGCCGTTGCTTGTCATGGAAAGGACCTGATATGACTTACACAAGAACAGACACTTCAGATATATATTTTTAAAAGGATCTAATATCTGTGCCTAGAGTAACCTTAAGTTCTCAAGTGACAGTTATTCATGCCTTCATATGCCGTACGAGGGATCAGGATGTCAAATTTTACTTAGTTTTAGCGATTCTAATGTAAGTACATCCAACAATTTATTGTGCTGAATTACTGACGTGGTCTGGTGGGTTTTTTTTCTCTCCAAAGAAACCATCCTTTAAGCAGATAAATCAGTGAGGTACTCAATGCAATGCAGAGATTAACATCTTACAAAATAACAAGTAAGCTTTGTCACCTTTCAGGCAAAATTATTTCCATTTTAAATAAGTTCAAGAATCTAAAACACATTCTCTGAAAATATTAAAAAAAACACATTCCCCTATCACTTTGTACCTGGTACTTTTCCCACACTGTAAGACATGTTTGTTAAAGGGACTGTTTTGTTTGTATTCCCAACTACAATAGTAAATAAAATATTTTGTGTGTAACTAATTGTTTATGTAAGTATAGTCAAACACCTGTAAGTATATCTTTAATCACATGCCTACATTCTATTAAGGCTACTAATTAAAATATGAATTGCAGTTTAGATAGCGAAGCAGAAAAAAAATTTCTAATTTTTCTAATACAGACCAAACGTGACTCTGACTGATGCAAGGTTGAGCTTCTAAACTAACCCCAAGGAATCAGAAGATAAAGCATGTATTTCAACAAGAAAATTAATCACTGATGTTCATGTAATATATAGTTATGTCTTTTAAAAAGACATGGATACCAACGTCACGTTTAGTAACATGCTTTTCTTGTAGAGGGCTTTTGAGCTACTAAGATTTAGGGGGTTTGTTGTCTTTACAGGGCAAAAACCAGTTCCCTTTGGGACCAAGACAATAGATTAAAATGGTTTTGAAGTTTCTGTTCTCCCTGTACTGAGGTACACAGGAACATTGCACACAAACTCTCCTCAGAAGTACTACTAAATCAACCAAGTTACACATGGTCACCATTTATTTCTAAAAAAATCTGATTGATTTAGGTACCTCACTTCCAGGCACCAGAAAAATTCTATTCCAGGATCCCAGCTGTTATATTTAACAGGATAAACAGGATATGTATAACAAGTATCCTTAGCTTGAAAAGCTATATAATAAAAAAAAAAAAAAAGTACAGTTTTAGTAATCCAGCAGCAAATATTAACTGTAATTGTAACAATAAATAGTATCAACAAGCTTTGGGTACAGTTAAGAAAGCCTTCTGGCAAATGCACATGCACTTCCCCTATTCTTCAGGGATCTATTTCTAGTCTATTTCTAAGCCACCTTAGCTACATACAGACATGCTCCTTTTAAGGTGTCATACTCCTTCTGAATTTGCACAAAGTAACTTCAGAATAGCTGCATACAGCAGAACAAATTCTCTTCAGCTTTAGGAATCACAAAGCAAGTAGTGCTGCTAGATGTCTTTATTTTCCTTTAACAAAAAACACAAAGGCACAAAATTCACTCATATCTTGTAATTATTGTACAAGTATAAATAGTGCTTTGTATTCAAGTACAATCAAGTGCAGAGACTTTCTATATTTTATGTAAACACAAAACAGTTTTGTATGTAGGTGCCTCTGGCTAATCTGCAATGCAAATGCCAAAGGAGATGCCATTTATCCGAGTGCCATTTAACTGAATTCTGTCAAGAAGTTAGACAATGAATAATATTAACACCACCACAATGACACTTCCATATGCTTAAGTCAAATGTCAGATGACACTTTAGCTTGTAAACATCTGTGTATTTAACATGTACTCATTCGTTTTAACAGGGCAGTATTAAAATGTATCTTAAATTCACTAGACCAAACTTACTAGGTCACTTGCTGTCAGTAATTGCTCTTTGCATGTGACAGCTAAAGAGATGTCAAATTATAAGTCACCTTTAGCAAATCTTATACTTTAAAGTTTTTAAATATGCAAACTAAACAATGGCTACAACTGTTAGACTTCAACCAACTATACATTCTATATATTAACGACACATGCTTAATTTACAATACCCACTTTTACACATAGCTTTGACACACTGTGGCAGTTGAGGCAGTTTAAGCTCAAGCGAGATTTTTAAGTTGTACCATTAAAAAAAGCTCACCTGAATAGTAACAACAGGCATGAACAAAGCTAAAAACTAGCTACAGAAGGCACTTGAAGTACTTTATTCTGCTTTCATTAGAGATTCTTCATTTTGTTCAGCTGAAATAGACTCTGAAATAGAGTCTTCAGTTGTTGAAATGTTTTCTGCTTCTTCTTTTTCAATTTCTTCAGCTAGCTTATCATTTAGCTGCTCAGAACTTGGTGTTTTATCATCTGTCTCATTTGTCTCAATGATCTGGGCCGCATCATCTTCAGATTCTGTGAAAAGAAAAATGATGAAATAACTGTTTCCAGAAATTAGGAGGCAGTTAATATTCTTGAAAAGCAAATGAAACATTTTGCAATCACATGCAAGTTTTGACTAGTAACTGCATAGTATTCTCAACTGGTAAAAACTATTTGACTTTTTTAACAAGAAGGTAACACGTAAAAACTATAAAATTTAAGAAAAATAAAGAAAATACTATGGAAAATAGTTTAGATCCTACCAACAAAATATTACGTATTGTTTGTGTTTGTTCACCCTCAATTTCTCTAAGTTTGTTCATTAATGTGAGACATCAGAAACAACATGATGGTAATTCAGCTTCTTTGTGTTTGGCAATGCCAGTTTTACCAACTGCAGCCTTAAGATCATCTAGTTCCAACAGCTCTGCTGTGGGCAGGGACACCTTCCCCTAGAACATCCAACCTGGCCTTGAACACTCAGAGGAAGGGAGCATCCACAGCTTCTCTGGGCAGCCCATTACAGTGTCTCACCACCCTCACAGTGAAGAATTTGTTCCTAATATCTAATCTAAAGCTACTCTCTTCCAGTTTATAGACATCCCTCCTTGTTCTATCATTACATGCCACTGTAAAAAGTCCCTCTTCAGCTTTCTTGAGGTCCTGAAGGGCTGCTCCAAGGTCTTCCCAAAGCCTGTCCTTCTTATGCTGGGGGTCTGTTGTGGTTAAACCCAGCCTGCAGCCAAGTATCACACAGACATCTGCTCACTCCCCACCCACCCTCCTGCCACCCTGGTGGGATGGGGAGGAGAATCACAAAAAAGTTAGAACCCATGGGTTAAAAATAGAACAGTCTAATAGTTGAAACAAATTAAAATAGTAACAACTACAACAACTGTAACTAAGGGGGAGGGAAGCGGGGGGAGAAAAAAAGAATTAAACAAGTGATGCCCCAATACAACTGCTCACCACCCTGCTGACTGATGTCCAGCCCTCCCCCAGCATTGATCAGCCCCTCACATTCAAATCCCCCCCATTTATGTACTGTCCATGACATTCCATGGTATAGAATATCCCTCTGTCTGGTTCAAGCAACCTCTCCTGGCTATGCTCCCCCCCCAGCTTCTTGTGTAGCTCTCCACTGGCAGAGCACAAGATGCCAAAAATTCCTTGACTTAAAATAAGTACTACTTAGCAACAGCCAAAACATTACTGTGTTATCAACATGAACCCTGTAAGAATTCAAAACACTCAATCATAGCTGAAACCAGGTTAGGCTCCCAGAGCCGGACAAAGTGGGATCTCACAAGAGTGGAGGGGCAGAATCACCTCCTTTGATTTGCTGGTCATATTTCTTTTGATGCAGCCCAGGTCACCGTTGGCTTTCTGGGTTGCAAGCACATATTGCCAGTTAATGCTGAGTTTCTTGCCAACCAATGCTCCCAAGTCATTCTACTCAGGACTGCTTTCAATCTATTCTCCCAGTCTGTGTTTGTGCTTGGGACTACCCCAGTCCAGGTGCAGTACCTTGCACTTGGCCTTGTTGAACTTCATGAGGGTTGCACAGGCCCACTTCTCCAGCCTGTCAAGGTCCCTCTGGATGGCATTCCTTCCCTCAATTGCACCACACAGCTTCATGCCACCAGCAAACCTGCCAAAGGTGCACTCAATCCCACTGTCCATGTTCCTGACAAAGGTATTTAGCAGTGTTGGTCCCAAAATCAACCCCTGACAAAAACAGTGCCAGTCAAATGTCACTTGTTCATATTTATCAAAACATGCTGGTTGGTTGAAAGTAATCAGACTGCTTTAGAATTCACAGAATTCAAGCAGGGACGAAAGTTTTATAACCATTGCTCTGGCATCTTGGGTCATGACTGACAAGAGGAGCTGCTGCACACCCTCATCCAGCAGACCAAGCACAATCGTCATCTGACACCAAGAACCTAAGACCCCTCTTCCCACACGAGGCTCCATTTAGTTCCAGGCTCCACTTCAGACTCTCAGAGCAGCCCAGTTTCTCCATGTTTTTCTAAGACTTGATCTTTCACCTTAGCAAGTCTGCAGTTGATTTACCTCCTAATTCAGCTTCCTTCTCTGCTTTCTCAACCACAGGTTGCTCAACACCTGTCCTGGCTACTTGTTCCACAATTTCTCTAGAGCCACCTCTCAGATGGTCAACCCCCCTATTTCTGCCCAAGCAAATTAATATTCGCAGTTACTTTCCAATCCATTCCACTCTCCATTCCTGCTCTTCAATTTCCATCTTGATCCCATCTCTGCCTGTACTCAATCTTTATCTCCCAACTGTCAGTTTTCTTTCTGTCTCATCTCTCCATTTTTTCCTTCAGCCTCAAATTCTATGAATAAGTTTGTGTCTTTTCCTGCTACAATCCCTCCACACTTGAGTTACATTCCTGCTGCTGTTCAGGCTATAGTCGAAGACAGAATAGGATACAGGCAAGAGGCAGCTCCTCACCCTCTCAACTCATTTGTAGCATAGCCCAACCATTACTTTATTTACAGAGTTTCAGTCCTGCAATCCTCAGCTGAATCATGCTTAGTGCTCTGCAGAAGTGACTCCTTCTAACAGAGGTAAAGAGACTGTTTGCTCAGTCTTATCAGAAGGATGCCATCTACAACACTTTTCAGTTAAGCCCCAGTTTGTCCCTTGTTAAGGGACAATCACTCCCTAGCAGAAGCAAGGAGAAGCTTCTAATAAAAACTCAATGAAGTGCATATTCTAACTATCTATATCCAAAGGAACAGCAGAAGGATGGTGCTTTCATTTTTATATTCTCGTAAAAGGTATGGAGATGCTGCTTCTTTAAGCAAAAATTGTCAGGTATTGTATGACTTTTCCCCTCAGTCTGTTCTTGATTAAACTTATTGGAACTCCTGAAACTCTCCAGTTAAAATAAACTTATATGGAAAATTTTGGTCTTATAATTAAGTCTGACAAAGTTATAAGGAACTCAAGAGTAGGTCCTTTAAATGAGTGGTCAGCCAATCAGAGTGAGGGATGATAACTCCAAATATAAATACAATCAGCCTTCATTAAAAATATTATTCTACTTTACCGACAGCAATTAATGGAAAGCTTGCCTAAAGTCAACCTGATTTCAATATTGCATGATTTAAGTTATTGTGAGAGCAGCTAACAAGTGAGAGCTGACTATAAACTTAAAGACAACAAAAGAAAACTTAAGTGTCCTTGATGATTAATACTTAATCCATGATTTAACCAAAGAATGTGGCTACACCTACATGATCTTAACAGCAAGCATCCCTATGCTGGCCTGAGGCAAATTTCAGACCTGTAACAATGCAACCTTAAAAAACCTGCTCTTGGCTATAGCAGTTCTTTTTAATCCCAACACTCCTGGTTAATCCTTAGTACTTAAAAAGGGTATGTACTTGACACTGTAAATCAGCTACCCCTCCTCTTGTTGCAGAGTATTTCACTGAGTAACCAGTGAAATTACAATACTGCATCGCTATTAAATTAGGTAGAAAACACCTCTTATGTGGGAATTCAAAAAAAACTAGTATAAGATAATTGCTCTAAAATATAGCTACTTGTGCTTTCAAGACCTTTAGGATAAGTTTTCTTCACTTCTACAGCTCCCTGTTAAGACAGACTTTCACATAGTGCCATGTGGCTGAAGTACCTTTAAGGAACATGTGCCTCACAGTAGTCTGTTAATGGCTTTGATTATCACAGAAAGCTATTGTGAAGCCTTTGAAAAAGAAGTCCGATAATAGCATGGCATTCCCTCTACCCTTCACATCCTACCAAAAAGGCAAGGCTATGTTGTTCAGCAAAACTGAACTGTGATTGACTGGAAACGTAATACATTTTTAAAATCAAAAGAACTTGTTTACAAGCCATTGAATTCAAGGTAAACTGACCTATGTCTGCTTGAGAAATCACTTGAGTTCTAGGCATAGTAACTGAGGGAAAGAGCATAGCACACAGTACTAATTCATCATAAAAATATTTGAGCAAGATGGTCAAGGAATTCCATACAAATCTGGAGACAATACATTAAGTAGTCCATGATGTGCTGACCATTGTGGTAAAATCTGAAGCAGTCAAATTTTGTTTCAACCTTCAAAACAGTGCTAAATGATAAACCTGAATCAAGAATGCAGCATAACGGTACTAAATACAGGCAAGGCAAAATTAATCCAGAGGCTAAAAGAAGTTCCTGTTGGCTTTTCAATACAATCTAAACATTAATACTTTTAAGAAAAGTACATAGGAGAACCCACTAGCCTTTGATGAACAATAAAAAAAAAAATACCACCAAGAACGAGCCATTTAAGGAAAAAGTAAGAGAGCTGAAGTATGTTTCTTCATTCTGGTATTAAAATTTCCCAAGGTACTCTGCTGAATAAGTAAGCATGGTGTTTGTACTAGTAAACTGCATGAGACTGACAGCTGATGAGTCTGTATTTCCAGAGGATTAAAAAAAAAAAAAAAATTCCAAAGTTCAGTGCCAACAGCACTTCCCAAAACCATTCTTCATATCTCTTACCCACAGAAGTTGCATGTAACATGCTGTCACTGCATGAGCACACAACTGAAAAAAAGATTCAGCTTCTTGCTCTACTCATTAGTCAAAGCAGCTGACTGGTAAAAAATATTTATAGCACTTCTGTATCACATTAGCTTGCAGTTTCTTTGAGCTATAAAGCTATGGCTTAAATGAGTTACAGAGAAGAGTTGGAATTCTCTGTGTTGTCAATAGTGTGGTGAAGTTGGTTTCCTGATGTTAATGTTTGTCTGCATCTGTAAGGGAAGATGTTCTCCCTTCTTGCTACAACAGCAGCTGTATCACTGTGGTGAACAAAAGCTGTCCCCAGAGCTCTACCTTAACGAGAGATTCATACCTTAAATTTACCATCAAGGAATACGTTTGTTTACTAATAAAGGCTCAACTGCATGTAAGCAGTTATGCTTCATAGTACAGTTCTGACAGAAAGAGTCATTTACTGGAAATATTTTCTCATTCAGAAGAGATTCCTTTGTGGCAAGTCACGGGTAGGTACTGGCCTCTTCTACATCAACAAGATATTTCTTAGATATTAGTTATGGAAAAAATCAACACATATTCTATTTCTGGCTGCTTAGCAATTATCAAAACAAAATTATTTATATCATCTTGGAGGTTAAATATCCAGAAGAGATCAGCTATTTAACCTAGAAAACCAAAAGTCAGTACACCAGTTAGTTATTTCTTATGCCTCTTCTGAAAAACTTCACCACACACTTCCTGTCAGGAAAAGACAACTGGGGAATGAAGCCCACAGTTGCTCATTTTGTTGTTTTCAAATAAAGCAGTACATTAATAAAAGACTACATCATAATTACATTGTTAAAGGTAAATCAGTAAAATCACATTTACTGCAATAAAGCCATCCTATTTTTCTCCTGAAACAGTTGATAAAATTTTGCTTTCCAAAAAGCAAAAGCTATTTTGCAATATTCACTCCTACATCTGAAGTGCCTCATGAAAATCTCACACTAATTCTTAAGGTTTTACATACTATACAACATCTATAGACTGACTCAGCAGCTCAGACCCACTAAAAGCACAGTTTGATAATCATTTCTTTCAATGATAATACCAGATTAATCAGCCAACACTCATCCCAAAACCTCTAAGAATCTCTAGTTATAATACTTAGAAGATCCCAAGGCACACAGCTCCAAGAGCTGAGTATCCTTTAAGGACCTCTCCATTTGACTCACACAGAGGAAAACAAGCCCACTTTTAAAGATCCCAGTAATAAATGATGTCTTTATCTTTTAAGTTCAAAAGTAGTCAAGAAGGGTTTAAACCTATCATCCACTCACTAAAAAGATGATTCTATGATTTGAGGGCATGTAAGACATTTTTATTGTCTTAGTTTCATGTATGTGCATTCATTCTTACTTTCATGCCAGCAACAATACTTTCTTTGAGGTAAGAGTGCACTGTGACACAGGAAAAGAAACCAATCTAGTTTTTCTACAATGCACCCTGACAAGGCCACACCCTGAGACAGCCACAGTTAGATATGACTTCCCTACTGGTCTTGTGCAGCCTTCCCATGTCAGTAAGTGAAGGCCAATGCCATTTTGTGCTCCCTGTTAAAAATAATCAAGCAGAAACATTCTTTGTATTGCGCTCTGGCAGTTTGCCACAGTTGGTGCGTTTCTAGCTGCACACTATTCAAGAGCTTCCCGCCATGATCCCTGCTTAAACTAACACGAAGTCCCATCAAGCACTCAATAGCACATCTAAGTGGATATCCTCTGGTTTGCAGTTGTAATTTCTGGAGTTTTTTAAAACACTGCATCTTCCTGTTGGCTGTACACCAGATGCCTACTGTATCTGCAGACTATAAAATGTCTCAAAAGGAACTATGTTAAATTAAAATTGACAATTTGTCTTTGAACTACCTGAAATTAAACAAGGCAGTTTTACTAGATTTTCCTGCCCTGAGGAAAAGAGCAAAAGGAACAAAGGCAGAAATTCCAACACACCTCAATCAAATGACCTGCCAAACACAGTGAAAGTTAACTACTTTGGGACATAGTCTCTTCTTAACCATTTCTGTAATTTACAGTGCTATTTTCTGTTTGTCAGTAACATTAGAGCGAAAAAATTTGTTATGCCATCACCTGCATGAGATATTAACTAATATGAAGAAGTTTTAAAGTACAGGTTATTAATGTCTTTTTTCCTAATTTGGAAGCAGGGACAAGAACTGAGAAAACATATAAACTGCACTTATTAGGAACTCAGAATAAACTGTACTTCAGTTAGAAGGGACCAACAACAATCATCTAGACCAACTACGTGAGGCTTGACCAAAAGCCGGATTGAGCAGTGTTTGATTATTTCAGCTGTTGTTATTGTTATTTTAAAAAAATGTATCTGAACAGAGAGCTAGATGACAGGGGGGATTTCATTAGACATTTTAAAAAGACCAGACTTGATGAGATTAGTACATACCTTCTGTCTGTTCAGTCTCCTGGGGCTTTTTCTCTCTGGGTTCTAGAGGATCAGTTTCAGATTGCAATTCTGTAGATCGCTTTTTTTCAAAACTGAACTCTGGAAGTCGTGGAGCTCGAGGTCTAGTTTTTCTTGCAGGATTCAGGAAAAAGCAGTAGGCACACCTAAATGCTACATAAAGCACACCCAGTAAGTAGCCTCACTAATTAACTTCACATTTCACCTTTATTCCTACACTATATTCTGACAGCCCAAAATACAAAAAAAAGATAATTAATTAAGTGATTATGAGTACCTGAAAGTATCTCCACCAAATTTACATAAACAGTTCCATACAGGTCCTTTTTTAAATTCAGCATACAGTTGCTTTTTAAAAACCTGTTCGCTTTCAACTCTGCTGCACTGAGTAGTGTCCAACACTTCTAAAGATTTGACCACAATGAACATAATAATGCAATTCAGTACCACCAGATGTTGCCATTGTTCTTCTGTTCTTTCCTACAAAAGAACTAAGTTGGCAGACGATTTTTTTTTTTTGCTCTCCTTAAGATGCCACTTTCCTCACCCTCTGAGTAAGGAGATGTTAGAAATTCCACAAGGTATGTCTCACTCTGCTTTTTGAGGAGTATTCTGCTTCAGTGGTGCTTAACTAAGAAAAAGCAGTTCTGTTCTGCAGAAGTATTGGATACTACTTAGCAGTTAAGCATCTATTTCTCCTCTCCCCACTCCAAGAGGGCGGAAGTGGCAATTTCTGGCACAGTTGAATTGTGAACTCACTTGAATTAAGATGACACATAGACTACATATCTTTGGTTTCATAGGAAACATTCAGTGCTGTATATTTACTTACAAAATTAAGCAAAACATAATTAAATAAAAGATTTATCTAAGATTTCCTGGTTTCTTAAGTATCAGGCTTACACTTGTGGTAGAAGGTAGGTAAAATAAACATCTGTGTTCAATAAAGAGCTGTGTCTGTCTCAAGTTATTGTCAGCCATAAATTCACGTAGAGCGCCCTAGGGCTCATTCCCACTCTTTTTCCGATACCTCCCCAAGATCTTCTTGACAACGCAAAACTTTAAGTTCTGCTTAAAGAGGCACACTTTAATGTCAGATAGGTTCTCAACATAACACCTTTCTGAGAACCATTCATAGCCACTAGCAGTGTTCAGGGATGTACTCGAAGAAGCTTACTTCTACTGAATAGTTTTCTACACAAAATGCTTGACATCAATGTTGCAATAAAGTACTTCTTTAAGTCTTGAAGTCAGTCTTTGGATACAGAATAATAAGTTACCAAAAAATGTTCCCATATGAACTGGTACTTCACAATGCCAGTTAAGTACTTAACTGCAACCAAAATGAATTATGATGCATATTAATTATGAAACATAAGCCTAGTAATGGAGTCTAACACAGATTAGGTCTTACCTATGTATTCAAACTCTTCCTTCAAAGCCATACCATTGTGGGAAAAACATTGCTGACATATAAGGGCATACCTAGAAAGTATGAATAACATATAATTATATACCTTTAAGTAATAACACACTGAAGGGAGATGCATTTTACCTTACATATTGACTAATACCTTAGATACTTTCTCTTAAAAGGTAATTTCCACATAGAAATTATTATCCTTGAAAGTAAACTAAATCTGCACATTGCATAATAGCATTTAAAGTTGGTTTAAGCACAGTGAAATATTCTTAGCTACACTATAAACCTCATGGTTCAGCATATTTCTAATATCATCACTGTCAGAAAATAACATCCAAATTAAGTTAATATTCATTAGAATACAGTTAATACGAAAAGTGACCATAGTTAACGTAGAAGTTCTGATATGACCGGACAGTTCTGAAGGCAATCTGAAAGGCATTTATAATGGATATAAAGCTGAAGTGCTAATGCAATCAGTTCTGGGGATTTTTTGTTCAAATTATAAATCATTCACTAACTTGAGTACAGATTTTCTTTGTATCACATGGCTAACAACACCCAAAACAGAGGTTAATTTTGCCAAAATATTACCAGTATTCCTGCAAAGAGATACCAAGTGAAACAAGGAGTAAAAGGCATTTAATTATGAAAATACTTTGGACAAATTCATTTGCAATTCTTTTAACCTTGGCAAGTCTGGCTTAAACAAAAAGGTTAAGAGGCTTTCTTTCCCCTAAATGTTTAGTATTTCTTTTAGAACACTTTTACCTGTTCTGAGGACCATCACCAACCAAATACTCAATAACTCTATCCACAACTCCTCTTTCTCGAGGAAGAATAGGTCTTGCCAAAGGAGGACCTGGAGGATGAAGACCTAGGAAGAAATGAATTATTTCAAAATTATTTTCAACTATATTATTGTATGTGATATTTTACTATAGGTTCTAGTGTAATAAAATAATTCCACCTACTTAATATACATGGCCATATTTCTCAGTCCACTAGGAAAGCTGTAAGATTTTTAAACCCACAATAGTTGAAAATTCCTCTTCCGTTTCTTTAGCTTATAATCTTAATAAATCACTCTACTTTTACCCCCAGTAATCAAATTTATAATTGCTAAAGAACTTGACATATCAATAGTATTCAATGATTAATAACAAATAGAGGTTTTTAAGAAAGAACAACTCCTTAACTGATTTTTCTTCATATATTCTCAACTCTGCATATTTACACTTCTAGTTTACACCAACAGAGCTGGTAAAATCACTGTCAATAGTAGAAGAACTAAACATCAGGGTAACATGATCTACTGAAAGGTGTCCCTGCCCATGGCATGGGGGTTGTAACTAAATGATCTTTAAGATCCCTTACAACCCAACCCATATGATTCTATGAAGATGTGACCAAAGAAGCAGCATCCAAAACTATTGATACCCTTGGACAAACACACATAGAAGTAAATGTACTTCTTAAGTAGAGTATTCATAGAAACATAAAATACACTGAGTTGGATGGGACCCATCAGGATCATCGAGTCCAACTACTGGCCCTGCACAGGACATCCCCAAGAGTCACAACACGTGCCTGAGAGCATTGTCCAAATGTATCTTGAACTCTGTCAGGTTTGGTGCTGTGAGCATTTCCCTGGGCAGCCTGTTCCAGTGCCCAACCACCCTCTGGGTGAAAAACCTTTTCCTGATATCTAACCTAAACCTCCCCTGTGACTCAGTTTCACGCCATTTCCACAAGTTCTGTCACTGGTCACAAGAGTGAAGAGATCAGCACTTGCCCCTTCCCCTCCCTTCATGAGGATGTGAAAACCACAATGATGCCTCCCTCTCAGCCTCCACTTCTCCAGGCTCAACAAACTAAGTGACCTCAGTTGCTCCTAAGGCTTCACCTCCAAACCAGAAGGCAAAGACAACACAGCAAGTCTTACTATTCGATAAGCTGATCCAAGATGGGCTTTAAGTTTAAATACAGTATTAAATTAACTGCCAGCAATTACCATCTCAAGCCTCCTACCTTTTAACCCTCATAGATAGAAAGCAATAAAGGAAAAAGTAACTTAGGGCAAAATGTATTACACTGCAGTAAACCTCCAGCTCAATGCCACATGCAGCTAACCTCCATCCTCTGTGACAAATGTCAAACATTGTAAGAATCAAATATTTCCAGCAGTGGCCTCTTGAAGTGCTACACATACAACAAGACTAATCCTGCCATTAAGGTTGCAGTATTCATAACAGCACAGCCTTTCAGAACAGGTCTCATCAATACTGGATAACTGATCTAAATGGACTGCCCCAATCTTTAAAAGCACAAGAAAATTTGATCAGAAAATACTGCAACTTACAACTCTTCAACAATAAGTACAAAAAAGTTTCATACTTAAATGTTTTTAAAACAGGTAAATTTTCACAAACAAGAGGACTGAATTCAGGAGATAACAATCAGTGAATGTATTCCCAAGTTATCCCCATATTTCATCCTCAGGCAGGAACTCAGACCAAGAAAACCTTCACAGTGGCAAGGTAGAACAAATTCATTCTGCAAAAGCTGTCCAAAGTAAAGGTCGGGCAAAATGCATTTCCTAAAGCTTCACAGAAACCAGAAAGACCCAATGCTTCTATCAAAAAAATGCACTGATACAATCTGCAGTAAAATTAAAGCTCTAGAATAATTTTGTGAATACCTGGCTTACACTCAAATGTTTTAGACCAACATTCAAAAGCCCAAGTTTTCATATGACCTGTAAATCACCACATATTAAAAGTTTCTAAAAGACAAACTAAGTAAAAATTGAATAAAGTTACCTAGAATGAAACAACACAACACACTCCAAGAACTACTTCAATTAACTGTCTGCTAATAACTCAGACCAACCATCTTGGTTCTCATGCTGTTATGGACACCAGTAATTAATATAAACATCAAAAGCAATCATTGAAGAAAGACTGGTCATTTCTGCAAAGCTTGGCAAACTCTCAACTACCTGCTGGTTATTAATTTTCAAACATATGGGAGCTCTGTGGTAATACACGTTAAATTGATTCTCCTCTACAAAATATAGCATAATGAAAATGAATTATTAATCTTCTGTAGAGATAATTAAGGCTATTCATATTTGTTGCAAGCCATGCATAAACTTAGATATAATATTATTCTTATAGATAATGAATTTACACACTTTTCACTACGACTTTATGACTGAGATCTTATATGCCTGGAAGGTTTGGGGAAATACAAGAAAAAGCAGGGCCTCCATATGAGCTGACAGTTGCAGTGGCTTCCGTTGCTATCTATGACAAAGTAACATGTTTGGTCAAAATACCAGTTACTAGTGGGGAAAAAACCATCTGTAAGATATTATCACAAAAACTACATTGAATATTTTAATTCCCAGGCTTGGCAACTGTCCTTTCAAACAAGTCAGTTTCCTTCTTCCTCTGAACCATTTACGCAGTAAAGGCTGAATTTCATCCAGCTTATTCAATGTACCTGAATCTTCCCTTAAGAATAAAGCTATTATATAGCTGATATTATTTTATTATATAGTCAGCTTCCTTAACAAGGAGCATGCAATTTTAAAGTCATGATGGAATTTTCAGTAAGCAGGTATCAGTAAATGTGGTTAGCAACCGAATGACCAATTTCCTGTGCAAGGAGTTAATTTCTGGTGCTTCAAGGTAATCAAGATTTACTAATAACTTGCCTTTACAGTTCATAGGAGTTTCAAAATAAAGGTAAAGAGCTACTAACAAAAAATAAGGCTTAACAGCCTGGCATGAACCCATACACAGCTTTACCACCTATGAGGAGAAATGAGAACAATACTGCCCATCCAAAACTCTCAAATTCTGCAATCCTTGTAATGTAATTTAGTTCATACTCTATTTAATAAAGTCCATCCCACCTGAACACCAAACCAGAAATCAAGGTAAAAACATTTTCAGGATATGAAACTAAGTTTTAAGGAGTATTCATTCCTACCAGATTTCAGCTTAGTGCTAAGTTTTTGACTCTTGTACCAAAATAACAATGCCATTTTAGAGTTCAGCTACAACAGAGACAACTTTTCTGTTGTATTTGGTATTTTACACTTTAATCTATGAGTACAGATTGCATGACTATACCTCCTAGAGTAAAAACTTAAATAAATGTCAAGATGTATGTTAAAAAAATATGTGCAGGGTTTAGTGAGAAACATGAATGTATTCTGAAAGTGTTCTCCTCTGCACCTGATTTATATAAGCATAGAGCTCTTCTAAACTAAGAACATAAAAAGGTATGCTATATTGTTGACTACAGAATACTGCAAAGTTTTATTGCCATTTAAACAAAGAAGCCATAACAGTTAAATGAGCTCAGGCAATAGGTTTCAGCATCAAAAGGTGCCAGCTGTAAAGAGTTATAGCTAATTGAATATGGAACTCCCGCTTAATCAGATAACTGCTCTGCTATTTCCAAATGAAATGCCATTTCCATACTGTCTGAAAATGGCCTATTTTATTGGTAACCAGAGAAAACAATATAAACTGTAAATAACATTAAGTGTTCTGTTTACCCATTCCAGGCACTGAAGTAGCAGGGGATCCAGGGCGTCTTGGTAAAACATTTGACTGCAAGGATGGCACAACGGTTCTCTCCGGGAGTCCACTCAGACCCGATGAGTCTCTCTGCAGATTAGGAGATGCTGGAACCGGTGACTTGGGAGAACCTTGTTTAGGAGTCACAGGTGGGGGTGTAGAAGCATTTCTTTGAGCTGCGGTCCTCTGACGAATTTCTGCCAAGAAATATACGTACTGAATTGAGCATCTAGCATTCTAAGCAAGCTATTAGAAGTAGTACACTAATATTTTTATTACAATCAGCAAATTACAGAGTCAAACAAAACCACTAAGGTCTAAAACTAGATCATCAGCTACCTGGCTGAGCATGCCATAGAACTAAATACCACATAGAATATTGAATTTTAGTAGCAATAATCATTAAGGTGTTACATACTTTGGGCAAAATTCTCCTAGAAGAAAATTAGCAGATACTTCATGATTCTGTTCTGTAAGGTAGAATGCTGGAGATATGAACAGCTAGACTCAAACCAGGGTGTTCAAAACCGACCACTTTTTACTCCATGGTTTAAACATGATTCCAAGTACTGAGCTTTCCATGGGACCAAAACTATTCAGTCAGAATCTAAAATGTCCAGGCTAAGTGCCCAGAGTTATTTTTAAAAATCAGATTGGATAAATGAAGCAACTCTAAAACCAGAAGATCATAGTTTCATTCACTTGTTTCAGCAACCCTACCATGAAACCATGTTTTGAATTGTCACAAAGCAAAACAGGGTCTACTGGAACATGTCTTTACTTTTACCTCTTCTCACACCACTATCAGACTTACTATTAAATCACTATCATGAAAAACTTACTAGGTTTGCTCAGTTGTTCTTACCTCTCATTAAGACCAATGGGAATATCACCACAGTAATATATTATGGTTTGAATATTATAATAACCATGCAAACCTGAAGTTCATACATTACTGCAACAAATCAAATTGAAGTTAAACAATCCCTTTAGGTCTGCAGACATTAACGTGGTTAACAAGTAGCAGCTTAGTCTCTAAAAGGAACACCCTAAGAACGCCCACAACTAAGGCTACAGTAACCTACAGAGTTAGCACATAGAACCCAAATCACTTTGAACAAGCTTGCTTGTCTTCCTTCACAAAAAATGGAATTTAACATTACATTTGGACTTTAAAATCATCCACGTGTTTCACGATTAGAGAGATTTTATTTTGCTGACTTTGTGTCAGGTTGGAAGAGTTTAAATGCTTAGCAGGCAGTTTACAGGTCCACTGGCAGCCAGCCACTAGAAAATGGGTGTGCTGAGTCTGAAGGAATGATCCCTGTCCCTGAAAGTACAACACTACCAGGCTAAACTTCTGCTTTGGGTGGAGAAGGGGGGGAGTATGTGACATCAGCTTACACTAGCTAAGAAAGAGTTGCTATCACTGAAGTACTAGGTCAAACATAAAAGTTCTGCTGGAGAACTGCCAACATCCAGTGCCATGAAAATTGCAACACACATGGGTTATGGTCTTGTCTACTTATCTGTATGTATAAATAAGATTTAATATACAACAGAAGAAAAAATTAAAAATCCTTTGGAAACAACAATTAAAAAACTATAGTGCTCAAACTCTTACTCAAACTCTTACTATCCAACTCTTGCTAAATCCACCTAGTTCAGTTTCCTACAGAGCAGAAAAAATTACTAGTTTTCCCCTGCCACTCTTCATGTGCATGACCACATTACTTCACACAACTTCACCATCCAAGTTAGATCACCCAATGAGTATGAAGATTCTGTATTTTAATTTGATTTTAGCAAGTAAAAGTTTGTCCCTTCACTATTTAAGCTGTTCAGAATTTGGAAACCAGGATAAATTGGTGAGGTAGTTGCAGAAATTCCATTAAGGTTTCCTTAGTGACTTGTTTCTATTTTGAAAACTGCTCCTATGCGGAAAGTTTTATCTTAATTAAGTATTCATTTATGATGAACCTCACCATTAAAATGTCTTCAAGGGCTTTTTGCGAGAGACAATAGTAATAACCTGTCAAGTTTTACTACACTAGAATAACTGCATCATCCTCTCCATGCCATCTAACAGGCATGACTCAACTTCAAACAACATATTGATTATGACCCATGATTTCTTATCCATTATATTCAAGTTTGTCTTGCAGTTTCCAGCTATGTACTAGTTTCAAAAGTTAAGCTAAAGGTATGCAATTTCTCAATTCTTCTCAGCTCCCCATATGTTCAAAAAATAAGTGATAAATATAAAGCTCAATTCCACTTGTTCCAGGATCATTTTAAGTATCTATACAAAGACATATTAATACATTCTTTTTTCACTACAAAGCCTTCTTTATATTGTTTTCTATATAAAAATGTTGAAGATCATGACTGTAATTTCTACATATGGATGTTACTTATACATTTTGAAGGCTGTCTTTCTAGATCATGTGGTTTAAGTATGTTAATTTTGATTGCTTAACAGCTCTGAGTCTGTTTCAATAGGTCATGGCTTTATTCATATTTATTCTGAGCCCACAGTACATTATTCCTAAGCAATTTCCATACTGCCTGTAAGAGCTTTGCCCCTTTTGCCTATTCTTTCTAAAGGGTTGTTCCAGGCAAGTCTTCTTTAAATAACTTTCAATTAGGAAAAGTTACTGCTACTTTAAAAACTTTCCCCATATTTTTGTTCCTGCAAAAATGTTGAACACAAGTACTACAGTCAGTGTTAGAGAGATGTACTTCAATAGTTTTAGTCTCATTACAGAGTAGAATGCAAGACTCATTGCTAGTTTCCAAAAAATTATACTGGGTTATTCACAATGCCTTTTTCTTTTTCCTCCACTTAAAAGTTCATTTGGCTCTCACTCTATTTTATGATTCAGACTTAAGACAACATGCCAACACACTGCTGCTCCCCAAGTAAGACAAGTTACCAGAACCTGCACTATGAGAATATGAAAAATGCTTTCCTTGTCAAGACCTATAGCCCATCCATCCCAGTACTCCATTTCCTAGAGTGGCTGTAGATGTTATTTAGTGACAACACACTAACCTAAATTTCTGTTGCCTGCATCTCTGACACCATACCCAGAATCCATAAACACATTATCAGGGATGTTAGAGAACACAGCCCTGTCTCATAATTTTAGTATCACATATGGACCCTGTTACCAATAAACTCTTCTTAGAAGTCCTTTTAAACCTGCTGTCCACTTTCACAGTAACAGCCCTAATTTTCTTTTGCAGTAACTGAATATGATCTATATACTTCTCAATTTGCCTTATTTTGAGATGTAATGTGTTAAATTGCCTCTTGCAAAGTTCCAGGTTTCCATAATTTCAAGTTCCACAACTTAGCTGAGTAACACGTCCATTGACCTCAACCCTAACACAACATACAGTTACTGCTGCTGTTGTTTTAATAAAGCTTTGCAATTTTCCAAGGATTTTCTTCATTAATGATTTTTGTGTATCCAAAAGACAACTGCATGAAGACACTTAACTTAAAAATAGAACTTTTATTCTTAAAGCACACTACAGTTCAAATTCTCCAGTTACTAGCACTCAACAGCAGGCATGCTACTCAACATAGTCAACAGTATGATCTCTTAAAGAATATTAAGATATTGCAGTGGTGAGGCAGCTGCATCTTTCATGTTTACAAGCGTAACTATTTTATTTTTCCCCTCACTTCAAAACTCCTTGGTTTTTGTAAAGAAGAAAACATTTTTAAAGAGCTACAGTACAATTCAGGTCAATATATAGTTTACATAACTTGTTGGCTTCAGTGTCAAAGACCAAGCATTTTCTTTCTTCCTCCTCATGCTTATACCCATCCCAGCCTGCAACCATCTGTTATTGCACTACTTTTAATTCAAGTCATGGAGCAAATTCTTTTACAATACAGCCCTGTTAACAGTCATATTAGCCCAATGAAAAGAGCAGGTTATCAACAACAGGATATGGTTGATAAATATTTATTTCACTGCAAATATACACTTACTCTATTTTTCTCTATGGCCAAAGTACATGCTCATTAACTCCAGCCCTCAAAAAATTTCTGAATAGATGAAGTTGCACTTCCCTTTTCAAATTCCACTCCTTCTAGATTTCCTGGTGCTTTCTTATGCCAAATTCAAGATTGATATGAATCATCTGTTAAAGCTACCATTATCTAATTAAGAAGCACATGTCAAAATTACAAAAATTGCAAAAAGAGCTAAATATATAGAAAAATTGGGGCACTACCAGCTCTTTTTCTGAAAACCAACTATTATGCAATGCTGGTAAAATCTTTGTACCGATTAGTATGAC